TTTTTATAAGCATTTAAAGATCAAATTTTGACAAAATTTATCAAAATCTCGAAAATTATCAATCATTGTAATTAATAAATTATAAAATGTTCAGTTTCTATAGCTAAGGATTGCAAATTCAACACAAAGGTTCTCGTAAATAGTTCATACTGTAACCAAAAAATCTAAAAAATATATGATCACACTTATTTTTTACAGACATTTTAAATTCAAATTTGGACGAAATTACATATTAAAAAACCTAGAATAACTATTTTAGTTATTTTGTTGTGATTGAATAATATTATTCGTGGGTACGTGAAACTTCTAAAGTGTACTATTATATATCTATGATAGTATCACGGTTTTTGTTGATGTATAACGTGTTATAAGTATCTAATGGATATTGTGATATGATTAATTTGGAATTCATTATAGGTAGGTCATTTTTTTTAGTACCATAGATAAGTATATAATATGTCTTATACATAGACTGACATACCGTCACCGCTCAGAATCGTTTTTCTTATACAATGATATTATATCATTGAATTCAAATTTAATACCATCCATTATACAGTGACCCACTTGTAACCTACTGTACAGCAGAGCGCCAGAGCGACACCCACTTGCCCACCTTTTAGATTCTGAGTGAAACGATGAATGTATTGATTTTACAATGATGTGTGTTTTTTTTTTTATTTTTTTTTTATTTTTTTTGTGTCTGTGTACACGATAAGTAGTCGAAATAATGCTTCGATTTTCGACTTCAGTATCTTGTTCGATTGGAAAGTGAATATCGTTGGTGCATTGGGGAAGTCAAAATTTAAATTTCCCAGTAGTTTTCAAGAGCGCCAAGAAAAACAAAAGAAAAATTCAGGAAAAACGGGAATTTTTACTCAAAATCGATTTTTCAGAAAATTGAATTTGGTTTTTGGTGTAACTTTAAAACAAATGACTGTAGGTACATGCAATTTTCACTGGTTGTTTATATTTGCATCTTCTATACACGATAACATTTTCAAAATATTTTGATTTATTTTGAACAGTTTAGGGACATTTTCATTTTTCGTTTTTTTTTAGTTTTTTTTCTAGAAATATCAATAAAATTTTATTTGTTGGTTGCGAAAGCTTGAAAATTTAATAGAAAGCTCCTAATATATTGTTTCAAAGGCAGATGAAAAATATTAAAAATCCTTAGTCACAATTTTTTTTTATAAGCATTTAAAGTTCAAAAATTGACAAAATATGGAAAAATCACGAAAATTAGCAAATTATATTGAGTTAAGAATTCGTAAAAATTTTTCTTTTTAAATCTAAGATTTGAAAATCTAATACAAGATTACTCATAAGATTGTCTACCTTTATCAATAAAAAAATCTCTACCGGAAAGTCAAATTAAATTTTTATGAGCGTTTGAAATTCAAATTTTTACAACATTGGATATTCACTCGATTTCTCATGTGGCAATTTCCTTTTTTTGTTGTAATTAAAAAACGAATTACTGTAGATACATGGAAATTTCACTGAATGTTTATATTAGCATTTCCTATACACCATACAATTTTGAAAATATTTTGACTCTTTTTGAGCTGTTTACGGACATTTTCAGTTTTCAATTTTTTTAGTTTTTTTTTTCTATAAATATCAATTAAGTTTTATCTGTTGGGCCAAAAAGTGTAAAAATTTAATACAAGGCTCCTGATATATTGTTACAATATCAGTTGAAATATATTAAAAATACATAGGCACAATTTTTTTTATAAGCATTTTAACATCGAATTTTGACAGAATTTTTCAAAATCTCGAAAATTATTAATCATCGTAATTAATAAATTATAAAATGTTCAGTTTTTATAGCTAAGGATTGAAAATTTAAAACAAGATTCCACGTAAGTAGTTAATTCTCTTACCGAAAAATCTAAAAAATATACAATCACAGTTTATTTTTATAGTCATTTTATGTTCAAATTTGGACGAAATTACATATTAAAAAACCTAGTTATTTTGTTGTGATTATATAATTTTATTCGTGGGTACCTACTTGAAACTTCTAAAGTGTACTATTATATATATATGATAGTATCAGGGTTTGTTGTTGGTGTATAACGTGTTATAAGTACCTAATGGATATTGTGATAATGTGATATGATTAATTTGGAATTTATTATAGGTCAATTTTTTTTTAATACCATAGATATGTATATAATTTTCTTAACCTAGACTGACATACCGTCTTCGCTCAGAATCGTTTTTCTTATACAATGATATTGTATCATTGAATTCAAATTTAATAGCATCAATTATACAGTGACCCACTTGTAACCTACTGTACAGCAGAGCGACATCCACTTACCCACCTTTTTTTTTTTTTTTTTACATGAAATTTACAATCTGTTCTTAACTAGAACAATAAGCAAATGTGCATAGGGTAATTGCGTATGAATTTTTTGAGGGAAGAAACCATCCATTGGTGATACTACCTATTTTGTGTTCTTAAGTTTTAAGTTAAACTAATTTTAATTTTTAGACAGAAGGTCTCGACACCATCTTCGCTTAAGCCATCTAGGTGGAGTACAGTACCTGAAATGGACAAGGTAGATAGTTTTTTTATTAGAGGATTAGGATGAAGAGGTAGTTTGGTGGGTATTCACACTGTAGTACAGCAGAGTGCAGACACTGACTGGCTATATATTTTTGATAGTGGGTAACCTATACATTGATACATTCATACATAGTAGTGAATCTAGGATTTTTTTATGGGGATGCTAATTTTAAGGTTTGTATTCTGTATACTCCATAGTAGTCCATACTGATGGCAAGACTTTTTTTAGTCCTCAAAATGAATGTTCTTAATTTTAATTTTTTTTTTAAACATATACAAATGGGTACGTATTTAAACGAGTTAAGAACGTGGGTAAAATCAGTGGTAGGTATATTTATTTTTACCTGACACACTTTTTTCAATTTGTTTGGTTTAACGTATTTAGTTAAGTATGTTGGAAACGATGGTGAAGTAAAAATTTGGCCGTCGGACTTAGTTCTGAAAATTTAGTTATTTGAGGTCCGAGGGGTTCAAGGCCCTTCCAAAGTGGTTTTACATAACAAGTCGAGGGATGTTTATGATTTAAATTATCCGAGAGAGCGCAACAAGCAAGTGATTATCATTTTTTTTTAAAGTGTCGAATTTTAATGAACAATATTTTTTTGGGGGGATGGAGTGGCCGAGTGGACTAAGGCGTCGACTGCAACGCAGCCGACCCGAGTTCGATTCCTTGGCCACGGGTGGAATTTTTCTTCGGACGTCACGGTGTCCGGAGAAAAATTTCCGAGCATGTCAGATACCTACAGGTGCCCAATCAAAAATTCTGTCAAACACAACACACACGTGTAAAAACCCTACTACCTACAATCAGCTAATGGCCATAGTCGCCGGGCTTTAAAGATCAATTAAAAAAATATATATATTTTTGTTACGTACCTACCTATAATACAATTATTAAAAGTTGGTTTTAAAATGATCCTAAGTTCTAAACATTTTTAATATTTTATTGAATACGCTTATTATGACTGATGACAGATGACACAATACCCAAGGTAACCTAACCTAACCATATCTACTTTTCTGAAGTTGTTATATTAATAACATAAAAGTTATAACATCAACAGTATGACATCTAAAATTATGAAATTGTTGAACCAATTATTAAAGAATGTATTTATTGATTATTTCATTTACATATTTATTAATAATTTTGAGTATACATTTGTGCGTTTTAATCTAGGTAGGTAGGTACTAAAAAATAGTAGGCACTTGTAAAGTATTTTGAATATTTTAAAATGTATTTGTATATTTTATATTTAAATACAAATGAAACCAAGTATTTAAATTTTAAATAATAAATACGTATTCTGAATACATTTGAAAAATATTCTTAACAAGACTGTATATAATTAAAATGAAATGCTATTTATTGACATTATATTAGGCCTTATACTAGGCTAATTTTAGCTGTTGAATGGTTTCCCACTATACCCACTATTCACTAACAACCATAAAGCTATTGCCTATTAGGATATCTGTATCATTATTCATTAACTATCTATAGGTACTATATTTACCACTTATTAAGTTCTTGGCATATTATAAGGTATTAAGGTCAAAGTATACCTAAGTATAAGTATTAAGGGCTATGGTTCTTATTAAATTGTAAAAAAATGCTAAATTTAATATAAAAAATAATTGGGTGGTACATTAATGTTCAAGGTTTTGACGGAAATAATTTTTGTGTTCAAGATTTTGACATTCAAGGTTTTGACGGAAATAATTTTTGTGTTCAAGATTTTGAAATTCAAGGTTTTGACGGAAACAATTTTTGTGTTCAATATTTTGACGTTCAAGGTTTTGATGTTCAAGTTTTTGAATGTTCAAGATGTTGACATATAGTACCTACCTTTTTCATGTAAAAAGAAAGTTTTTTTTTTTTTTGATAAAATATTTTTGCATAAATTTATGTTTTTTAAATGCTTATAATGATGTTTATATGCTCTTATTTTATTGATTATAAGTGCCATAAATCCCGAGCCCTGGTAATAACTAATAAACTATAATAGTCAAGCATTGGAGCTCACTGTTCAGTTGTATTTCATAATCTATAAACTATAATTTTATATAGCAGTGTTATTAGGTTATTACACTAAAGACTTGTACAAACAAACTCACAGAGGTGGAACAAATAATAAATATCATATAAATCTTGAGTTTATTAATGTATTCTTTTTTTTTATATAAACATAGGTATTAAAGTTAAAATTTATAAAAAGTAAAAATACACATTATGAATAAAAATAAACTAATAAAACAAAAAATTATAAAACTTTTAACTCTTTTCTAGGGAGTATTAATATGTATACTGAAATGTGGAATTTTTTTTACCAACACATTTGCCTTATTCTCATAATAAATAACTAAACTAAAATTAAAATTAAATAATAACTATCAAAATAATTTTTGATTGACATTATTTTTGAAATTTAGAAGGTATACGACTTTCTGCACACTTTCTGTTTGACGAATTAGATACATCAGATAATACAGGAACTCCTGAAAACTTTGGTATGGTTTTTTTTTGTTTAATACTATCATTAAGGGACGATAGAGATGAACTATTAAATTCATCATTTTTTGTTAATGATCTGTCGGTGACTTTGCAAGGTATTTTACTTTTTACTATAACTTCTGGTTTTTTTAATGTTTTTCGTTTAGTAAAATCTTCATTATTTTCTTCAAATTTGTTAAAATTTAATTTTTGATAACATTTGTTTGATATCAAACTGTTTTCTTTTGCATTATTTACACAAGATGGTTGTCTTTCACTGCTCCTGAACATATTTTTAATTTTATAAAGCATCGACATTGGTGTATTTAGCTCAGTCTCTACTTTCATTTTCTTTTCGTTATTATCATATTCTTGAGTAGTCTCCATTTTCCTCTTATTATCTTCCTGTACATGATCCAATTCAATACTATGAAAAGAATCGATAATTGAACTCTTTTCTGGCGATTCTATAAAAAGCGACTCATCGTTCATCTGTATATCAGTTAACAATTCAGTGTTATTGTGCAAAAATGTAGATTCTTCTAAATGTAGAGCTGTGCTATTCATTTCATCAGAATTACTTTGTATAGATTTTTCAGCTCTACTGTGAGAAGTTATGGGTATTATTGGATTTTCAGATGAAATAATTGTTTGTTTTTCAGATTTAGTAACAAAAGACACTTCAATTAGATTAGAAACATTTCTATCAGATTCAAAAGATGTTATATCAGTATTATTTTTTAATCCAACATTTTCCAACATTCCTTGGTCGATAATGCTGAAATCTACAATGGCACGTTCATTTGGGTTAAAACACGGTTCTTGGTTTGAATAATCTTTAAATTCTGCAGAATCAATGTTTTTGTTTGAAGTAGATTTTGATAACAATTTTAAGTCGGGTTTTACTACTTTAGTAGATGCTTCCGCAACACAGTGTTTGTCATAAAATGTTTTTTGTCTTGACTCATTTTGTTTAATTGTTTGATTTAAAGAGTCAGAAGGTTCTTCAGCAACAATCTGTCTGTTGATCACTAGCAATGGTTCCAGATTATTTAATTCTATTATACCATTTTGAGTCTTATTAATTGCACAAGAATGAGTAGACAGATTTAAATTTGAATCCGTTATTGTTTGATCAAAAGATGAGTTACTGAAATTTGATGTATTTCTTTTTATTGACTCATCCGCTAATAATTCTAAATCAGGAGCTGAAATTGTTGATAGATTGTTTGATGAAGAATAATTGGAAGAGTTTTGTAAATCTTTAAAATTAATTTCATCTTTTGTCACTACTTCTGAATTCCACATTTGATCAACTGAACTAAAATTTATTAAACTTTCATCGTTGATAACATTTTCAATTGGATATTTTTGTTGTGTACTTTGTAATATTGGAGTTTGATCAACAATACTGAAATTTAATAGCTTCTGTTTTTTTGCTGGATTATCAAAAGTGGGTGTTTGTTGAATAATACTAAAATCTAATAGTTTTTGTGTCTTGGGAGTCTTATATTCAACTTGTTTTCCTTTTGCATTGTCTCCAAAATTAAACATCTGTTCAAGATTTGTAAATTCTTCTAGGCTATTATCAATACATTTAGTTGCATCCAATAAATCTTGTTGCTGATTGTCATTATTAAGTACTTCATCTTGATCAATTAGGTTTTTTTTAGTTATTTCTGTTTCTGGGATAAGTTCAAAAGCAGTGGAATTAGGAATGTCGGTTATATTAATTTGATCGGCAATTAGATGTAAGTTGTTTTCATCCAAAGTATTTTGTGTTGAATGTATTTCATTGACATCTTCAGAGATAAATATTTGTTTTGTAGTGATATTATTCAAGTTTTTATTAATTTTGGTAAATGTATCAAGTTCCAATTTCGATAACTCATCACTAAACATGGAACTTTCATTATGTTTAGTTTCATTTATATTTTCAACTAATCCTGAATCTGTAATAGTACAATTTATTGAAATACTTTCTTTTGCTTTGATTTGAATATTAACATCTGTTCCATATGCTAAACCAACTTCAGATTTTGAAGGAGTAGCTACTGTATTTAAAACAGTTGATTTATTTAACAATTCAATATCATTGACTTCTTTCACAATACTTTCAGAGTCCAAAGTTATTGGTACATCATTATTGGGGCTTACAAAATCTTCATTTGGCTCAATGTTGTTACAAGAAGTTTCTAGAGATTTATTTTCTATAATGACCGACAAGTTTGACCCATCATAATTAGAGACATTTTCATTTACTTTCGTTAGATTGAATGTATCAGAAGAAAGTGTTTGTTCGATCAAATTTTCAAGAGTTTCATTGTCATAACTTTCTTTTGGCTTATTAGATTTTTCAACAGGACCACTTGCTGATGAAATATCATTGCACATTTCATTTACAGCTAGTTCAAAGTCCAAATATTGTCTCATCATACATGATGGGTCTTCTAGTGATGTATTGCAAGTTATATTAACTTTGTTAATTTCTACAAATGAACTATCAGAATTGATTGTGCTTTTTAATATACTCTTATCCAGTTTACTTAAATGCAACTTTTCATCAAAATGAACTGCTGAAACAGAGGCGTTTTGGTTATTATTCACAACCCTGTGTTCAGTATTATTTAAAGTGCTTTCAGTTTCATGGGATTTATTACAATTCATAATTCTGCTGTCTGTTAAAAGTTTATTAGCATTTATTAACATTGATTCATCAAATATTTTATCCACTATACTGGTATTAATTGATTTAATATCAACTTTTGAAGCAATTGAGTTTTCTTTATCAATACAATCATTTACACCTGGTAATGGAATAGCTATATTGGACATAATATTAGTAGATTTTTCACCATCAAATTTGTGTTCAGTGACATTTAAAGTATTTTCGATATTAGTTTCATTTAAGGATTTATTCACATCCATACTTTGGTTGTTTGTTGAGAGAATATTAGTACAAACTGTTTCAACAAATATTTTATCCACTTCACTGGTACTAATTGATATGATATCAACATCTGAAGCAATTGAGTTTTCTCCATCATTATACTCATCTGCACTCGATAATGGATTAGCTTTAATATTTATAGACTTTTCACCATCAAATTTGTGTTCAGTGACATTTAAAGTATTTTCGAAATTAGTTTCATTTAAGGATTTATTTGAATCAGTACTCTGGTTGTTTATTGAATGCCCATTAGTGAACACTGTTTTGTTTAACTCTTTATCCACACAACTAGTGTTAGTTGATTTAATATCAACTTCCATGGCAACTGAGAATTCTTCATCGTTGACATCAGATGTTGGTAGAGCCATGTTGGCCCTAATATTCATAGACTTTTCACTATCAAATTGGTGTTCAGTGACATTTGAAGTATTTTCGATATTAGTTTCATTTAAGGAATTATTCATATCCATACTTTGGTTGTTTGTTGACAGTTTATTAGTGCAAACTGTTTCATCAAATATTTTATCCACTTTACTGGTACTAATTGATATAATATCAACATCTGAAGCAATTGAGTTTTCTCCATCATTATACTCATCTGCACTCGATAATGGATTAGCTTTATTGGACATAATATTTATAGACTTTTCACCATCAAATTTGTGTTCAGTGACATTAAAAGTATTTTCAAAATTAGTTTCATTTAAGGATTTATTCGAATCAGTACTTTCGTTGTTTATTGAATGCCCATTAGTGCACACTGATTTGTTTAACTCTTTATCCACACAACTAGTGTTAGTTGATTTAATATCAACTTCCATGGCAACTGAGAATTCTTCATCGTTGACATCAGATGTTGGTAGAGCCATGTTGGCCCTAATATTCATAGACTTTTCACTATCAAATTGGTGTTCAGTGACATTTGAAGTATTTTCGATATTAGTTTCATTTAAGGAATTATTCATATCCATACTTTGGTTGTTTGTTGAAAGTTTATTAGTGTACACTGTTTCATCAAATGTTTTATCCACTACACTGGTACTAATTGATATAATATCAACTTCTGTAGTAATTGGGTTTTTCTCATTATTATACTCATCTACACCCGATATTGAATTAGCTATATTCGACATAATATTCAAGGGCTTTTCCCCATCAAATTTGTGTTCAGTTTCATTTAAGGATTTATTTGAATCAGTACTTTGGTTGTTTATTGAAAGTTTATTAGTCTTCATAGTTTCATCAAATATTTTATCATCTACACTGGTATCTGTTGCTATAGCATTAGGTTGTGCAGCAATTAAGTATTCGTTATCATAATGAACATTTAAGTCTGTTGGAATAGTAATGCTGGACATGATATTCATTGGCGGTTCATTATCAGATGTACGTACCATATCATTTAAAGTATTTTCGATTTGATCAGTTTTAATTAATGACATGTTAACATTCATACCATTGCCGTCTGTTGAATGTTTATTTGTGTTCATTGTTTCATCAAACATAGTATCCGCACTTTTATTCACAGAGACTATATCACTCTTCAAATCGGATGATATCAATAATTCTCCCGCAGTTGCATCAATAAACTTTGAAGTTTCAAACACATTTTCATTAGAAGTTTGATTGAAATGCTCAATAGATGTACCATGAGGTATTTCAGTAATTGATAAAACATTTGAATTTTCATTGATTTCTGAATGTCTACAACTGATGTTATTTAAAATTAAAGGAGAATTAAGAACTTTAGGCACCACAGGAGTTGTAGTTTCTTCAATTCTATCCATAAATGGAGCAGATGCTACGAGAGCCTTAGCACGAAGAGATTGTTTAGTGACTCGCAAATCAAACAATCTCTGTTTTCCGGGTGTAACACTATATTCATCAGCAACAATTGAATCTTCAGTGACATCTCCAAGTTCTGAGTCACTACAAATACTTAAATCTGTATCGTCTTTTTGACTACAATGTATTAAAGTGCATACATTATTAGAATCATCTAATACATTTGGTTGGTTGATACTAAGGCTTTGCTCAATAGCACTTGAAACAGAAAAGTGTTCACAGGTACTAGTTTCATCAACTAAAAAAACAAATCCAAATTAATCAAGAGCAAATTAAAATAATATATACATTTATAAATTATTTTAAATACGTACAGACACAATTGTCTTGAATTGACTCCATTTCTTGGGCTTCTGTAAAGCTAACGGTTTCATCTAAAAATTAAATTACTAGTTTTATTGAATTGACTACTAAAGAAATCCTTTATTATTGATACACACCTTCAAATGTAGACTTATTTTGATCTTCTGATAAAGAAGAATCATCTAGAATCAATAATGAAATTAGTAACTAATTGAATAAAGAAATGTAATAAGTTAAGTATTGATAAATACAGAATTTTATGTTTTAATCAACTATAGAAGTAAAATAAAAAAGGTGGACAAGTGGGTATTACTTTGCTGTACAGTAGTCATCGAGTATGTCATTGTAATAGATGTGTTATATTTGAATTCAATGAAAAACCATTGCATACAAAAATAATTATGAGAGGACATAATGTCATCCTAGAGTACTAGTTAAAATAAAATTAATAAAATCAAAAATATCTCATGGCTAAAAATAGCGTAACTTTTCTGACCCTTTTTTTATTTGTTTAAGGTAGAACAATTTGTGAAGAATCTTCTATTAAGAGGATGCTACACCCACATGTGTTGTCTCTGTCTTACAAATGTACGATATAGCAAAAACTGTTTTGCAAGTGAAAGAACTGAGAAAGTTACAGTCATAACTTAAAAATTTATAATTAGTTAATAAAAAAATTTTCACCACATAAAAGGAAGAACTTTGGCTGTGCAACATTGTATTGATTTTTTTTTACAACACATATATGAAAAAATTTCTTATTGTTTGTGTTTTTCAAACTTGAAAAACTTTTTTCATATAAATGATATCAAAAAAATAATAACAACTTTGCACAGCCAAAGTTCTCCTTCTCATGTGGTGAAAATCTCGTTTCTTAGCTATGACCACGATTTAAGATAGTATGGTTGCCCAACAACAAATTAAAAAAATGTTATCATATGGCATACGGTTTGAATCGAAAAGTCACATGGTCTACAGGTGCCCCCGCATATAGCGCTCATATCGGTTCAAATTAAAACTAATAAAAATTGTTATGTTGTACCCACAAACAATAAATATATATATATATATATAATGATCGTATTATATTATAAAATAGTCCACAAGAAGCACTAGCACCGGGGGTAAGATTTAAATTCAATGCCGTCTTATCACAGCTCGTTGGGCAACCATACCATCTTAAATCGAGGTTATGACTATAGCATTCTTGGTTCTTTCCCGAGCAGAACAGTTTTTTCTATGATGTACATTTGTAAGATGGAGACAACACATGTGGGTGTAGTGTCCTCTTAACACTTCTAAATGAAAAAGTTATTAATAGCATTATTCTTCATCGTGTAATTACGAGATATTTATTAAATTAGGTAATTATAAACAATTAATATTTATTATTTTAAAGTTTTGTTATGGTATATAAAAAATATCATAGTATAATACATGGTAAACCCGGTGGGGGGATGATACATTTTAAATGGAGCGATGGAAGAGGGATAATAATAAAGAACCAAAATATAGATGTATATATCATACTTGACGATGTTGATCCCATTCTGATGTATCTATTAATAACTTCTGTGTCCATTAACTTTGCATTTGGTATGCACTTTGAGAAACATGGCGAAGAAAATTTTGCTGTAAAAGTAATTTTGAGATAGATTAATTACAGATTATAATATGAGATGCAATCATTTATAACAAGCCCTCAGTTTCCTTTTCAAAACCAGCGGGGGTATTTTTAATTAACAATTTTAATATAATTAACTAAAAATACTTACAATTAGAATCTTCAGAAAAGCTTTGTTTTAATTCAGTTGCTTCAATTTCTTTTTTTTCTTGGTCAACATTTTTTGTTGAATGAGTTATATTGACTAAAAGTAAAAGTGAATGTAATTATATGAAAAATCTAAAATAAAGTTTAAATTTCAAAAAATGTGTTTACTTGAATTATCAACACATGTTGATGTATTTTCATCCAAGACAGTAGATTGGTCTAAGAAAAATAACATATAATTAATTTAATTTCCTACCTACAAAAAGGTAACAAAAAATATGTATATTTATTTTAGATTTTGAACAAAGCAATTTTTGTTAATTCAAAAAATTATTATTAAAAAATTTAAACTGTATCCAATTATTTATTATAGTAGGTACAAACAACGAGAGGTACATTGGAGTAGTAAAATATGAAATTAAGAAACTAATTCAAAAATATATTAGTATATAATATAATAATTGAAATTTCATATAAATATATGTATCTTTATTAGGCAACATAAGGTTTACCTGAATGATGTGAATATTATTTAAAATCAGGAAGCATTAAAATTTATTTTTAAATCCTTTAAAACTCAACCTACGTACAACGGAAAATATTTGAAGTTTACATAATATATTATTATGAGGTACCTATTGTTGAAACATTTTTATTTTCTATATTATATTATCTTCATAAGATCTTCGTCTGTTATTTTAAATTTTAATAAAATTCCCTTATGTAACATTATTTATTGGAAAATATCTCAAAATTAACAAACTGTTACCCATAACTTTTTTTTTTATTATTCGTTATTACTTATTATATATACACAATCCATACCAGCACAATAAGAGTATGAGCTATGCCTATATAAAAAGAAAACCTGAACAATTTGAATGTAGAAGCCACCCATTGATTATTGTTATTGCAGTCGCGGTCTGCACTTTGCTCGTTGCACACGTATTATTACGCTCCACTAAATTTTTGTGATCCCGTCAAATTCTACAAATAGTCCTATGCTGAACTCCACAGATCCAACTTCACTCCAGGTTAATAACAAGGATGCCGGTTGGACACAAAAGACAAGTAAAAGAAACCATTCAGATTCATCCGAGACAAAATCTCCAGATCCTACCTCAAATAATAAAAAAAAATAATAATAAATTATTTATAACAGCAAATCGTTACAAAGTGTTTACTCAGAATGAACCTGCTGTTACAATAACCGAAGCTGACACTGTCTCTGAGGGATCCATCATCACTGATCATATAAAACCCCCACCTCCAATCTTCATGAAAGAAGTTTTAGACTTCCCTGGCTTTTCCTGAGTTCTAATTGAGCTAATCGGTAAAACAATTTTTACTGCAAATCTTCCACCGATCAATTAAAAATACAGACTGCTAACCCTGAATCATATAGATCATATAGATTCGCTACCTAAAGGACCAAAAAGCGGAATACCACACCTTCCAACTGAGAGGACAAACCATTAAAAGCTGTTATTCGAAATTTGCACCCTTCCACACCTACGGAACTGATTAAATCTGAACTTGAAATACGTCTCTACAAGGTCAGGCAAGTCACAAACGTGCTGCATAAGATCAATAAACGCCCGCTCCCATTGTTCTTCATTGATTTGGAGCCCACCGACCACTCCAATGAAATAAACCATTTATCTTCCCTTCTTCATACGAAGGTAAAAATCGAAAAGCCATACAAACGGTTAGTCAATGCCTCAATAGTCAATTGTCAATACTACGGTCACACGCGATTATACTGCGGCTCGTTGTGTCCGCTGCGGAGACTCATACTCTTCCTCAGACTGCACCAAATCAAGAGATTCTCCTCCCAAATGCGCCCTGTGTTCAGACAACCACCCAGCCAACTACCTTAGGTTAGGTATCTACTTAGTAGATCAAGAGATCACCCTGAACGTCAAATTAAAAACACATGAGGATATCGATAAAGCAGTTGATAAATTTACCTCAATCATTCAATCAGCTGCTTGGGCATCCATTTTCAAACATAGTCATGATTCCTAAACCAGACAAACCACCTGATCTGCCTTCCTCGTACAGACCAATAAGTCTGCTACCTTTCCTAGGTAAGATATTAGAAAAACTGATACTTAAAAGGCTATTACCTTACATAGTACAATACACCAGGTACATCGATTAGTTGACGCAATCTCGTATTACCTAGAGAAAAAATATTATTGCACTTGAACCTTTCTCGACATTAGCCAAGCGTTCAACAGAGTTTGGTACGAGGGATTGCTAAACTAAAAAAATTTCTCTACCCGTATTTATTTTTATTAATTAAGTCTTATGTAAGCAATCGCCATTTCCAAATCCAGTTTGGTTCTTCATTATCCAAAATTGAGAAAATCTTAGATGGAGTTCCCCAGGGTGGAATCCTCTCTCCCTTTCTTTCTAATATCTACACTTCTGATCAGCCTATCTCCCAAAATACTACTGTAGCCGATTACGCGGATGACAAAGCCATCATATCATTTGACAAAAACCCTATTACTGCCTCAGCAAATCTTTAAACTCATCTGAACCTAATGTCTGAATGGTACAACAATTGGCGCATTAAACTAAATCCCAATAAGTCTGTACATACAACATTTTATTCTATGCCATTCCATTTGTCCCTAATGTCTATTTACATAACATACTTATTCCCACATCTGACTCAGTTAGATATCTAGGACTAAACTTAGATAAGCGCCTCACTTGGAATAGCCATATCCGTATAAAAAGACTTGCATTAAACGCCGGTCTTCGCAGACTACAAACGCTACTCACAAACAACAAACACTCCAGTTTAAAAATTAAAGTTCTTATATATAAAACATTACTCAAACCTCTATGGACCATATTATGGTCTCCAACTATGGGGTACAGCAAAAGCGTCCAACATTAACAAAATTCAGCGATTTCAGAATATTGCTTTTAAGAAAATTACTAATGCTCCACCCTTTGTTTCGAATTACACTTTACATAATGATCTGTCAATTAATACCATGACAGAAGAAGCTACACGTTTCTACAAAATCTTTCATGCCCGGCTACAAACCCACAAAAATCCACTCATTAAAAACCTACCCACGCAAACTTTACCTGGCAACCCCAGGCGTCGCTTAAAAAGGAGCTGGTGCCGTGACTTGCTAGGGAACTAATATCAAAAGTTAAAACAAAACAAAAAAAAAAAAAAAAAAAAAAACAGTATAATAGATATATAAATATAGCTAGTTCATACAACTTCCAGTCAAGTGCCATTAATGGGTGACTTCTAACTCACGTATTATTTTTAACCCTCACCAAATATGCTAATTGTGCATAATTGTACAGATTGTATATAATATTGTGAAATAAAAATAAAAAAAATAAAAAATTGTTATTCTATTTTTCTAAATGTATTATTGTAATACTTTCAATTGTTTAATAATAATAAAAAACTGGCCTGTTTCTAAAATCTATACTCCGTTCCGAGAGAGAATGCACAACTGGGTGGTGACCAAAACGTGTTCATTTCTGTGCATCCCTATCACATTTCTGTCAAGGTTGCCTACCGTCAGTATTTGTCGATCACCGTAATACGGTTGTCGAACGACATTGTTATAATATACAGAGTGGTTACTGGTGTAATCTTGTTTATTATTATTACATGTCTTATGGTAGTTTTAATAATAAAAAAGTAATAATCAAAATAAAGTATACTTAAAAATAACTCCTATACCGATATATTATATTATAATGGTTAGTCGCAGTAATATTTGTTGTGCGTTACTTGAGCCGCTGTACACAGAGAGCGGACGCCACATGGTGGGGGAAATTTGGCCTCGCGAACTCAGAGCGCATGGCAGTCAAATTCTCTCGTGGAACGAAGTATAGATGAGTTATAACTCATAGCAAGATTTTTATACAATAAATTTGTATATTGCATGTGGTCTCGATATATGTCAGACAAAACATTAAAATTAAATGAAACTGGTCTTAAAAATACAATTGTACTTAATAATAATACATTTATACTTGCCATTTTTTTTATCTTCATTTTGTTCAAAAAGGGATTGGCTGAAAGTAAGATATAAAATACAATAATTAATGACTAATTTATTAGGTAGGTACCTACATAATAAAATAAAATAAATTAATATATTATAGATGATATTTTATAAGAAAACTAAAAAAATATTTAAATTATTTTAAACAAGAATCTAATTTTCTCGGACAAAATATAATATATTTAACAAGAACAATTTAAATAATTTTACATGTTAAATATAATTTTTACCTTAATACGAAATCTGATGGTAAAACAGTGCGACGTGGTAATCTTTTAAATCTATTTAGTTGACTTTCAGTCACTGGACCAAAACATACCACACCATCATCATATTCATCTTCAACTATACTGAGCTCATCTGTATCCATTCTGAAAGCAATTATTTGATTACTACCTATATGACTGGCTATTTTAGTCATACAAATACCTAGTTAACAAGGTACCTATTGTAAATACACTTCATTCACGTTACCTCTAGTTATTGATAACACTATAAACATTATAAATATCCAATATTTTCCTTAGGTTGTTTGCGTTTACCAGCGTCTACTAGTATTAACAAAGTATTAAAGTTAAGGTGCCAAAGGTTCTTATTAAAGTACTATAATAGTATAATAATTAATATAAATATTAAAATTTATACTATATTAGAAAAATGTCCACAAATTAAATAAAAATAACATTATATTTTGCTTACAAAGTATAAATCTATTGAATTTGTTTATACCTACTTGGATTGGATTATGTACATACAAATTGATTTATTTTCAATGAAAAATAGATAAATAGGTAGGTACTTAATATTAAAAAACTATCTAACTTTTTTTAAATAAAAAACTAAAAAGTTCAAGTAAAAAAAACAAAGTTTTTATATAGCATTATTGTCTTGTGAGGGTAAAATGTTCAGCTTAGGTTATATACAATGTCAACCTATATTTACCATAATATGTAACTTGTACAATGCACTTTATTTTTAGTTCAAAACCTTGTTTACTACCAAACTAATAATTTTCTATGTAACCTGTTCCGAAAAAATTCATTAAGATTAACACGTCAACACCGACTCGTAGTTGACACGACTAAACGGGCCCCCATGGCCGATGTCAACCCGTAGTTGACATAGAGTAACCTATTTTGTATTGAGTCTTTTTTGGTAGCACACATTTAAAATGTCTATAGGATATTCATAACCGTATTGACAATTCCATAAAATCTAATCTTTTACAATTGGTGACAGTCGCCCGCAGGTCAAATTTTGTCGGCCACTGGCGAGCGCATGCCAAATCAACGTTGGCGGTCAATGTGACAAGATGATACATATACTAGGTGTAAGTAGAAAAAAATATATAGGTAATTAAAAATATGTGTTATAGTTAATTAATCTATACCTATAAATAGGTAGAATATTTAGGTACCTACAACCTACACCTTCAACAGCATTCAGTTAATACTAAAAAATAAAAATAATGAAATACAAAATTACGGCATAATAATTCTTCGTACAAATTACTATAAATACCTATAACATTAATAAAAAAGTATGTACACTTCCCCCACAAAAAAAAAATATATTCTCACCTTTAAATTTATAATACAATTGTCTATAAAACAAGTACACACATTAATTTAAGTTTTAATCGTTGCAGAAGAGCATAGAGCAGTAGTGCAATACGAACCTGAACATACATTTCAACACCAGTAGACTACATTACTACAATAATATTTACTTACTCGATGTGGAAGTAGTACTTGAAAGCGGTATAACTTTTATGGGAAAAATTAACGTAGGTAAATGTTAAAACAGAAAACCCAAACGTTTGGGAATTATATTCTAAGTATAGTTGCGACAAATGAGTCAGAACTCACTGGACACTGACGTCCTACACATTAACCAGAACGTTCAGATTAAAAGTCATTGGACATTGGACAGTGACGCGCACGATAACCCGAAACCGAAATACGGCGAAAATTAGACACGATGACAACGAAACACGGAGTGACCAACTCGGAACTACAAAGGGCACAAAGCTTCTTCCGTTTACGACAGAAATTTTCCGTTACAAAATAAAAACAGTATGGCGGTTGTTCTTGTTCAAAAATATTCTATACGCATGCGCTAGTGAGCTAGTGCGCTACCACCACAGAACAATACCACGAACGGCTCGAACTAATAATCGACGGTCACGCACTCTCACGGCAGTCGTGAACGAACCATAGGTATGAAGTGAGTGACACGACCGGCGATACATTCGCTACGATTTCGGGACTAGGTTCATCCACTTTGCTAGATTCACATGTCTGTTCACTCTACACATCCCCGATCCACCGATTCCCTTTCGCCACTTACCGCTTTACATATGTTGTCCACGTTGCTTGGATCTTGCGAATTTGCAAATTGCGGTCGAAGTTGTAACTGATCAACATCAATTGACCGAGTTTCCGTATAATTCGTGTAAAATAAAGTGCTCGGATTAATAAGTCAATGAAAAGAGCTGCTTGTTTTTTTTTTTAAAAGTCGGAATTTCTGTGTGATGGACGACGAAATAATAGACGTGATCACCGAATGTAATTTCGATTATTTGGAATCCTTGTACGAACCGTGGAACAAGATCAACTCGACGTAAGCAATAACTGCGATCGCATGGTCGTCTAAATAGGTTATTAGTTTTTTCTAATAAAACGAGTTAATGGTTTGTCCCTAGGTCATATAACCCAATTAGTCCTCAATGGTTGATTCAACTGGCAGACGATTGGAACTCTGAACATGTAAGTGTTCGTGTGTGGGTCTAATCATTTTTAAGCTAAATATGCTGGTCTGTGTTGTAGAGCGTACGCAAGGATGATTCAAGGAAATTGAAAAAACGTCTGTCAGAAGATGTTTGCGATGAGTCCAAATACCGGGAAATTCTCAATAAATACAAAGAGAATGATGTATTTGTACTACCAAACGGCGAAGAAATAGTTAGGGTTCGTAATGATTCCAGCTCTGATTCGGAAATCGATATTATGGATGGAGAGACCAATACTAATAATGTTGAGGATTGGCAGTCAGTTATATCACATGGTTTCACACGAGATATAGAACACATACCAGCACCCACTCAAGAAAGACATCTAGAAAGTAATATTATTACTGCAGATGAAAGATATTATCATCCAAACTTATTTGGAAAAAAAAATGATAAAAAATATTTAAAAGTAATTTTATAACTAATAATTTGACTATAGTAAAATTTTATATTTCCTTTTTTAAAATTTAATTATATTAATTTGTATAGATAAGAAATACTATATTAGATTTATGGAAAGCAAATAAGCCATGTTATGTATCAAAAACATATGCTAAACAAAAAATGAAAAAGTGTGGTACAGCAAAAGAAATTGGACAGGTACATTCATATCTTGAACATAGAGGATATATTAATTTTGGATGTGGTAAGTTAATTAATGGTAGTATATAGTACAATTTTAATAATAAAATATGTTTACTTTTAGATGAATGTAAATATCATAAAAATATTAAAAAAGAATTAGCTAAAGCCAGAATATTGAAAACTCAATATAATTTAAAACCACCTCTTCTTCATGGAAAAAATAAATCTTTTAAAAAAGTAAGCAACTTAATATTTTGATTAATATATAAAAATCTTTGATGACTATATTAAATACTTTAATTTAAAATACTAAAACATAAAAATTAATATTTTTAAATTGTGATTCTGTTATATGAAATAAAATTTTGTTTTTATACATTATGTTTCAGATAAAGGCGATGGGTGGTTACACAATATGCCATGATAAAACTTCATCTCAATGGGAGCATAACTATTCAGTCCCCAAACAAAACAAACGTTAACTAAAATACTTATTTTATATAAAAACATTTTGGCTGTGAATGGGTTACATTTTGGTAATTATTCAAATATTAATTATGTATTAGTTTTTTAATATTTATAATTATTGTCTTATTTTTATAAGAAATGACTGAGGCAAATTAATGCAACTATAATTTTCATTTTTTATTAAATACATTAAACATCTAATCTATGAATGTAAACAGAATAAATATCAAAAATAGTGACCCATATTCTAAACTTACTTGTAAATAGTGTATATGTTATAAGTTTATAACATATTATGTAATATGTTTTCTATAATCGTTGACTATTATTTTTATTGTTACACCATTTTTTAAAATACATTTTTATAATTTGGTATGATATAAAATATTTGAGTATAATAAATACTTGTATTAATTGTGTAATGATTATTATTGAAAATTTGCCTATTGATTATAAAATATGAACTTAGGATTATTATATTGTTAAAAAAAACTACTATTTTTATTTAATACATGTACTTTTTAACTTATGCATGATATAACAATAAAAATCTGAATATGATTTAATAATTCATTATGTATTTCATTTAATATTAATGCATTTCTATAATTTCAATTTTGTTTTATCTTATGTACTATGTGTTATATGAAACCCACTAAACATCCACTTGGAGAGTTAAATAAAATAACATTGTGTATGCCACAACATTTTTATTTTAAAAATTAAATTTATATATATAACTCAATATTTATCATCTGAAAATCTAGTTATATCTGATAGATAATGAGACATATTAGTTGATGAGAAACTGATATTACAAGATACAACAAATACATCACCAAAAAATAATTAATAACGCTCAAATACTATAATTAAATAAAACTATTACCTTCATTAGACCTGCATTTACGGGACGTAACAGAAAGAACTGGACAAAAAAATTGATGCTACTTAAACGTATGACAAAAATTGATAAAATTATATGATTAGTAAATAGTTTAAGAAATATACCCATGTAAGCAAATGTCCAAAAATAATATTTTTAAAAAAGTGATTGCGTTCCAAATTAATTTAATCAAAAAAATATTAATATTTAAAAAAATTCTAAAAAATAAACTACTTGACTTAGATAAATGTTTTACCATCTAAATCGTTCTTTTAATCATATCGACAAATTGGCTATTTTTTCACTTTCCTATCAGAAAAGATACTGTTGAAGAAAATCTAAGAATTTTTGCTGTAATAAAGGTGATGACAGACACAAAACAAAAAACAAAAAAGGTGGGTAAGTGGATGTCGCTCTGCTGTACAGTAGGGTACAAGTGGGTCACTGTATAATGGATGCTATTAAATTTGAATTCAATGATAGAATATCATTGTATAAGAAAAACGATTCTGAGCGAAGACGGTATGTCAGTCTAGGTTTAAGACAAATTATATACATATCTATGGTATTAAAAAAAAAATTGACCTATAATAACTTCCAAATTAATCATATCACATTATCACAATATCCATTAGGTACTTATAACACCTACTTATAACATCAACATCAATAACAAACCCTGATACTATCATAGATATATAATAGTACACTTTAGAAGTTTTAAGTAGGTACCCACGAATAATATTATATAATCACAACAAAATAACTAGGTTTTTTAATATGTAATTTCGTCCAAATTTGAACATAAAATGACTATAAAAATATACTGTGATTGTATATTTTGTAGATTTTTCGGTAAGAGAATTAACTACTTAAGTGGCATCTTGTTTTAAATTTTCAATCCTTAGCTATAAAAACTGAACATTTTATAATTTATTAATTACGATGATTAATAATTTTCGAGATTTTGAAAAATTCTGTCAAAATTCGATGTTTAAATGCTTATAAAAAAAAATTGTGGCTATTTATTTTTAATATTTTTCAACTGATATTGTAACAATATATCAGGAGCCTTGTATTAAATTTTTACACTTTTTGACCCAACAGATAAAACTTTATTGATATTCATAGAAAAAAAACTAAAAAAATTGAAAAATGAAAATATCCGTAAACAGCTCAAAAAAAGTCAAAATTTTATGGTGTATAGGAAATGCTAATATAAACATTCAGTGAAATTTTCATGTATCTATAGACTATAGTCATTCGTTTATGAATAACAACAAAATAAGGAAATCGCTACATGAGAAATCGAGTGAACATCCAATGTTGTAAAAATTTGAATTTCAAACGCTCATAAAAATTTAATTTGACTGTCCGGTAGAGATTTTTTTATTGATTAAGGTAGACAAACTTATGAGTAATCTTGTATTACATTTTCAAATCTTAGATTTAAAAAGAAAAATTTTTACGAATTCTTAACTCAAAATAATTTGCTAATTTTCGTGATTTTTCCATATTTTGTCAATTTTTGAACTTTAAATGCTTAGAAAAAAAAACTGTGACTAACGATTTTTAATATTTTTCATCTGCCTCTGAAACAATATACTAGGAGCCTTGTATTAAATTTTCAAGTTTTCGCAACTAACAAATACAATTTTATTGATATTTTTAGAAAAAAAACTAAAAAAAAATGGAAAATGAAAATGTCCCTAAACAGTTCAAAAGAAATCAAAATATTTTGAAAATGTTATCGTGTATAGAAAATGCAAATATAAACAACCACTGAAAATTTCATATATCTACGGTCATTTGTTTTAAAGTTACACCAAAAACCAAAATCGATTTTTTCGAAAACAGATTTTGCGTAAAAATTTCCGTTTTTCCTTAATTTTTCTTTTGTTTTTCTTGGAGCTTTTGGAAATTACTAGGAATATTAAATTTTGACCTCCCCAATGCACCAACGATATTCACTTTCCAATCGAACAAGATACTGAAGTTGAAAATTGAAGCATTATTTCGACTACTTATCGCTCTGCTCAGAATCTAAAACAAGACACATTATTGTAAATACAATAAACATTCATCGCTCCGCTCAGAACCTAAAATAAATGTAGTGTATTCAGAATTTATAGGATATAAGAGTCAAAAGCTATTTTTAGGGCATACCTAATAGTATTTTTTTAAGGCATGGTGGGATCAACCACCCCCCCCCCCCCCCACTCACATTATTGTTAATAATATTTACGCCCCCTGAAATTAATTCCCGCCTATGAGTCAAAATAACTAAATTCGTTATTCTTTGTTAACTGTCCAAATTAGAACTTAAAATGTCTATGAAAAATCTTGTTTAATCTGTATATTATATAAAACAGTAAGCTGACTGACTGATCTATCAACGCACAACTCAAACCATTGGACGGATCGAGCTGAAATTTGGCATACAGCTGATAGCTATTATGATGTAGGCATCAGCTAAGAAAGGATTTTTGGAAATTCAACCCCTAAAGGAGAAAATAAGGGGTTGTAAGAAAACAATAGTGGCGCAATATTTAATTTAAATATACAATATTGGTTTTATTAAACAAAACGTAGGTACTTGGTATTTGGAATGAATCGCGGAAAAAAAGCCCAGAAATAGAAATAGTTATTATTGTATTATTACAGTTGAAAATTGACTGACGTTTATGATTATTAACTGCTCTCTAAATATATTAAATTACCTCCGGTTTTTTTAATTTTTGTATACATTTTAGTATAAGGTTTACGTTTTTTGATTTATAAATTATTGTACTATATGTATATAACTAAGACTGATGTTTTTTGACTCATAACTTATAACACAATAAATCATGACGTATACATAATATTGTGTTCATATTTATATTTTTATTTGATTTACAGTCTATATTTTATACAATTAACAATTAATTATTAATTTCATTATAATATTTAATATATAATTATATTTTGTTATAGGTATATGGTAATTATTACTAACTAGGTCATTAGGAGTAGAGTATACATGTGTAAATGTGTTCGCATTTCTCTTTCTGGGCTAAAAAATCCTTGGGCTTTTTTTCCTTGGGTTTTTTTTCCGTGGGTTTTTTTTCCGCCTACCATTAGGAATAGTGTGGTTCCTTTAATGATCTAGATGTGCAATAAGAAAGGATTTTCTGATAGTCTTATTTTAAAGAGGTGGTTAAACAGGGATCATAAGATTCAAGGTGGAAATTGAAACTTTTTTTTTGTTTATTAATGTTTGCTTTTGGTTGCAGGTTATATAGGTACTGGTATACGAATTATTTCACAAAGCTAGGTACAATTACGCCGATTTGCCCGTAAAAATAAAATAAAAATAAAATAACCCCCAAAATTTGTTAATATATAAATATACTAAACACTCCTAAAAATTCGGGATGATCAACTATGACTTCAATTAGTTCAATATACTATTTTAGTTGCACTGTATAAACATTTTTTTTTCAACTACAAAGATATACTAACATAGTAACAATAGTAATAGCCAATAGGTAGGTATTGGTTTTATTTTATCACCCACTTGATAATATTACCTGATAATATTGTAACGATCTGGTGGCTAGGTCACGATTGTAAAGAATTCTTTATAATCGTGGGCTAGGTACCTACTATCGTAGTGCTGACAGTAGATAAGTGGCTACCAAGATGTTATAGTTGCAGGTCGCAGACACTTTATTTGATGCTGTAGTGGTGGTAGATAAATGAATGATAAGACAGATGTAATATATTGTGAATTTTTATTATAATGTTCGATAATTTTATATTATATTATACTGATAATAGCCTACCTGATAATATATTGTTCATAAACGAGTCTCATAGATGGCTAAAAATTAAAACTTAATAAGATTTTCCTTCCATATGCCCAGCGAATTATACCCAAAAGGAGTTAACTATAATTAAAATGTTTTCCCGGCTAATGGCTGGGTTATTCAGCTAGTTGTTTTTATATTTTTAAAATTGTTTGATTACATTATGATTGTATGAATTGTTTATGAGAATACTCACTTTAAATTTTAAATTCTTAGCTATAATAATTGAATATTTTATAAATTTTCAACTACCTACAAAATTATTTGCAAATTTTCA